GAAGCACCATTGCCAAGGAAGAAGGTGCCGTTGCTAAGGAAGAAGGTGCCGTTGCTAAGGAAGAAGGTGCCATTGCCAAGGAAGAAAGTGCTATTGCCAAGGAAGAAAGTGCAGAACCTTGATTACAGATGAAAATATAGAAACTATTATTATTATTATTATTATTTTAACCATATAAACATATCTAACTGTGTTATGATGCTTGTGTGCTTTTAGTTCATAGAAATGTTCTACTTTTATTAAAATTATTTTACTCTAAATAAAATATTAATTTTTTGCATTCTGCTATAAAAAGACTGCTAGATAGATCTGTTGAGGCGTGGCTCATGTCCAAAATGGCGAGACTTATTTACAAATTGCAGACCATATCATCGTTAAGTTCCAGTAGATGCTTCTCTAGCTCTAGCCTACAAGCTAATAAAGTTGCTGTGGTGAGTTCTTGCACTCTCTCACTTTATTATAACATCAACCATTAGACCACATTTATAAATAAGATTATAATTAATGGTACAATGGTGGGTCTGGTTTGTGTTATGTTTTTTATGAGTAGGTGTTCATTTACATTTACTAATTATTAATACTTATGTCTCATGCATGCCTCTATCACACAATCACATTTTCACACCTTGTTAACACTATACTATTACACAATATGTACTGACACAGGCTTGCCTGAACAGAACATTCTAGAACATTATTCTCTAATATAAGCACACACTCTCTCTTGTTCTCTCTCTTGATTTTGCTGTTGTCGAATGTTTATTCAGTATCTTTATTTGTTGGCTCAGTATATCTCCTTCATTGTACTACCTGCTGACACTATACTGGTAAATCTATATCAGTACAATACTCTTTTAACTTGCTATTTTCGGGTTTCAGAATTAGCTCAAACATTATTGGTCCACCGAGCCGGATAGCTGAACTCTCCTATAACTCTCCTTTTGCTAGCTGACTCTGAAACTATATCCTCTGAATGATGGCATCTCTCTCAGCCCTTCGTAGAAGACGAGGTGTTGTTCGTGCATCTATAACAAAGCTAGACAGCAGGCTAACTGAGCTAGAAGCATCGCTCGAT